ACGTCCACTTTTGGACCAAACTGGGCGGCCTTTACGCTATTCACCTGGGCCATTGACACTAAATGGAGCACAATAGGCTCATATCAAGACCACGTTCGCCAGAGACACAAACACACGCGCCCACACCAAAGAGAATGCCACCCTGGAGCACGTACAGCACAACCGGGGGGGAGGACGGGCCCGAAGCTGCAAGCTTTTGCACCTCGCCTGTACTGTACATGGCGCCTTGCATTACCTCACCGGGGGAAAGGTACCTAGAGTAGGTACCCCGTATCTTCGCGTCCTCCTCGGCTTCCGCACACTTCGGTGTCCTTTTGTCGTCTAGGACCCTCACATTGTTTGTGTGTGTCTCTTGTCTTTTTGCCGTACTATGCTATTGTAAGTGTTGTTTTTGACCGGCGAATACTCGTGCTTTCCCGGAGAAGCCGCACATTTTTTAGTCCATTTGTGGAATCTGGCGGTTATTCCAAGCGTGTGCACCCTCTTTTCGTGGCTGTTGCTGATGCTGGGGTGCCCCAAATGCACCCATCGTCGCGCTGGTTGCCATCCTGATGCTCTGGCGATACTTCCACTGGACTTCCAGCGGGGTGACAACGGCGATGGGATGCTTTTTCTCTCGTATCTGTGCTGATTTTCTTCAAATGGCGGCACCCACATTTTCCGGTGCTGCACTACCACACACCTCATTAGCGGACATGGTCTTGTCGCCCAATGAGCGCCCTGCAATGGGGAGGCACCTTTCCCTCCCGCCTGTGTGGCTTCCGCTTACCGCGACCTGAGAAAAAAAAAGAGAGAAAAAGGACAAGACACACCTGGGCACAAACAACAGTGACCAGGGTTAGGCACCCCCCCAACAAGACTGCACTGCCCCTCTGGCCCCTCTCTCTGCCCCATTCCTTTTTCCCGCGTTGTCCTTCTCGTCAGCTCTTAACCCATCTTACTGACTGGACTGCCTAAGAATTAAAGCAGCAAGGCCTCTGCGAGGTTGGGTGCCTATATCCCCGCCTGTGTCTGCCTGAAACCTGGGACGGACAGGACTCTCGCCCTCATCACTTCCCCCCCGTCAGCTCGAGCCCGAAAACTTCCCCTCTCATCCTCTGCCCCGACAGCGGCCGACAGCGGCCACATTCTGAGGCCCTTCCCCACTGGTCTTCCTGTCGGTCCTTCAGCGTCCCACCCATTCCAGAGCATCAGGCCCCGTTATCGCAGCCAGAGCACCTCTCTCTCGACGCTGGCTGGGCTGGTCTGGCAAGGCCGCCTGTTGCCGATTCCCCCCCTCTCTCTCTTCTCTACGACACTGGGAACTGGAGCGCGCTCTGCCCTCCCGTTCATCGAAAAGCGCGGGTACCTTCGGTCAAGCACGTTCGTGCCAGGCCCGTCTGTCAATCAGTCGCTGAGGCCTGTTGACAGCTTGTTCACGGCTGTCATGGCCACCCACTTTGGCGGGCTCTGAGCTCACGGTGGACGATGACTTGGTGAAAAGCGGTGGTAGGGTTCGCCCAAAGACCGCCCAGGAACTTGTCGCTCTTAGTGCTTGCTCAACTCTGCCCAGAAAACAACCTCGCCCTGAGTGTCGCCATTCCCATCCCCAATGGCGCTGCCCAGCCCAACTACTGATGCCAGTTTACCCAAAAGCTCTACTGGCCTTCTGCATCCCCAGTACTCAATCACCAACCGCAGTAATTGATGACATCCTTCAAAAGCGATCGTTCCACTCCCCTTACCCACGACAGGGTATTCCTCCCTCTAGCCCTGAGTCCAGCGCTTTCATTCCATCCGACAGTCGCCAGCCTTCGTAACTCCGGGGGTATGCCTTGAGGACCCCCTCCTCTCCCAGCGTCAGCCTCCCAGTGATCCGTCATCAGCTATGGCACTCTCCGCCATCAGTATCATACTGCCATTGCCGATGCTGTCACCTACCGTCTTCCGGGACGCATCGCACAGCACCCTAGAAACCGAGACCCCTTGTTGGGCCTCTGAAAATACCAGTGATCCAGCACACAGGCCGTCGATGTCGGATTCCCCCGTTCGTGTTGCCCCATGGTGATAGTTCGCTGAGGACCGCCTGCTACATACCTGCACAACGAGTGCCCTGCTCCGAACGGCGACGACCGCCAGCCATTGTCAAGTAAAAGAATGACATGTGCCCTGAGGACGCTTATCCTTCGCTCCCCGCCACCTTGACAACTGCTTGATGTTTTGCACCGCAATTTCATTCGCCGCAGCCGCCTACACTGGTGACGAGGCCGTGACTTGGCTGGGCTATTATGCTACTGTGAACGCTGCTGGCATTTTTCGCCTTGCCGGGTATCACCCATCACTTCTCCGCTTCCAGTGCTTGTCGGACCCCGAGGGCACTTGTAGGTATGATGACCGATGCTTGCGACCCAGGTGTCTAAACCCCAGTGATTCCCGTGCGACGGCCGAGGGCTTCTACGATATCTCGGCTGCTGTCGCTCACCCATTTCATCAGAGCCAAGAGACGGTCGGAGTGCCCGATTCCTCAGCCGTGAGAAGGCCACGAGAATGACAACCCAAGTCGCCCTTGTACAACGAGTATCGAGACGCAATCTACGATAGCCCTGGGGACTGTCCACATCATGACACGCAGGGTTACACACTCACGCGCCTAGAAGGAGCTCCTCCTGGTGCAGCTCCATTGGCGCTGGTCCTTGGTCCTTGTCCGGTCCGTGGCACATGATGGAGCAGAGAGCTCTGATGGGCAGATGCCAGACACGACTCCGGACGACTGGATCCAGGTTTGAACCGAATGGCTTCACGTAACCAGGACAGGAGACTGTTAAGCTGAACGTGCATCGCGTATTGCCGTGTAGGTACAATCACCACCTCGGGGCACCAGAGGAATTATTGGTGTGCAACGTCGACCGTCGCCCAACGCGTTTCTCGCTTAATCACAACAACACAACATTGTGACGCGACTGTGTAGTAGCCACAACGCCCCTCCCACATAGTGTACAACGGCAATGTCTCACCTCGTTTCCATCCCGGGGGCGACTTAACAAGCGCCCATTGAAAGCTGGAGGAGAAGGTGTTTCAACTTTTTTTTTTTTTTGGGCAAATTCACTTCGGTCGGCCGTGTTAGAATAGAATGCCCAGTGTGCGATGATCATGCGATACAATACTGATGAGATTACCGATGAGGCTACGGTACACAACTCGAATGCTTGCTTTGCTTGCTTCAGTTCGTGTGGACGCGCAATCGCCGAAGAGGGGTGGTCCGCTCTCTATTGAAAGCTATCCCGCCATGCTGTCCCACATCAAGAGCTGAGCTCTGCTTTGCCCCTCGCTGCCCCTCACTGCTCCTCACTGCTCCTTACTGCTCCTCACGTTCACCAGTCATCTGCCGCGACACAACAGAGAGGGCCCCCCCGGAAGCTGGCCTGACCGCCAACCGTCTCATTCCGTTTTGAAACGAGAACCCCATCGAAACTCGGCAGAGGGGGGAAGGTCCGCATAACTGCTGGCAGCCCATTGGCGGCGGATCGGTTCCGCGACCCTCCATGGTACACTCACTGCCTAGGTAGTTATCTATATCGTACACTACCTACGTAACTATCCGATGGGGGGAACTGTCACCTACGGGCGACCACCATGTATGCGTGCCTTGGTAACTATTCGATGGAATGGAAGGCATTGCCAGTTTTCTCAACGCCTATTTCTATATTTGTTTTAATTCAACGAGGTCGCCAGGTGCCTCGGTCTTTCCGAACGCTGGTCAGCGCGCTGCTTAGCTCTTGACCGCTGTTACTCATCCACGGCTTGATTGACATGTCATCGTGTAGTATGAGACGGATTCTTCTCGAGAGCTGACCCGAGGCAGACGCTCGCCCACTTCACTCAATGTGCCTCATTCCATAGCTCGCAAGACCGGATGTTGGTGAGAAGTGCGTCATTGCACATTTCGTCTCGCACATTTGAAGTCTGCCGCCACTCACTTCATCCCATCAAGCCCAACATCAGACATCCTACCAAATGAGCTACCGGGGCGCAGCAGTATCACGTCCCTCCTCGTACAGGCCACACTCATCTCTATTTCACTTCAGCTGGCCAAGGTCGCGAGTCCTAGGCGCGCCCGCCCGGCGGTTAATTAGCAGCTGTCCGTAGCAGCACCCCCGACCCGAAAGTACCGACGATCAAACTACTTTACTTAGCTTACCGGATCGAATCCACACAGCTCGTGCATTGAGCTTGATGCAGACCCCTGCCCCATCCAACTTTGCACCTCACGTCACCGATACTTGGCTCCAATATGTGTCCCCCACCCGTTTCTGAGGTACCCCCGGCCCTTTAGTCACCGGCGGCGCTACTGGGCTACTAGCAGCCATCTTAATTCAAGCTCCAAGTCGGCATTGCTGGCCACTGGCATTGGTGGGGGGGGGGCGTCTTGGCGGCAGCTATCGCGCAGCAGTATGATGCCATGGCACCTGGAGGCTTGGAACACAGACCACCGCAGAAAATACTGCGAACAGGAAATGGGACAAGGTGGGGTGAGAGGGGGGGCAGCAAGCAAAAGCAACAGATCACGGATTGGACTGGCATGGCCGAGACTACACGTAGATGGATGCTGTGGCCACGGGCGGGTGGGCAGTGCGTCCTTGGTTGTCGGGCCATCCTATTCATTCGAGCTGCCTCGCGTTCCTGGTTTCTGGTAGCTCCAAGTGATGGTGTGTGTGTATGTGTGTGTGTGTGTGTTCATTCCGTACTCCCAAGAAGACAGTGACACGCCGTCCCCGTTGCCCCTCCACCGCTTCCGGCCCTGATCATAGCCCCTCCTTTTCCTCTGCAGCCCCCTTGCTTGTGTCATATCCTGCTCCTTATTTTATGACCTCCTTCCCTCCCGCCATCATATCTTTGCTTCCCTTCCACGCGAACTACACTTCACCTCAACCCGTTACCAAACTGCCTTCAAGGAACCGCGACGAACAAACAATCACATCTGAACACCACCAAGAGCAAGAGGCCACGAAGTTGAAACCAACATGCTCGACGCCAGGTCCTACCCGCTGCTGGTCGGCCTGCTTGTGCTGGTCTGCCTTGCCCAGCCGACCTATGCCTTCGGGGCTGGCAACATTGCCAGCATCTCCAAGATTGAGGGCCAGAACTGTGAGCTTACCCCCTCGTCCAATGTCTGTCATCCGCACCACGTCAGCTAACCGACCGGTTGCACAGGGCGTCATGGTGACATCGAGGATGCTCTCCTCACTCTTGCCATGGCACGCGCCATGAACGGCAAAAAGTTCTCCAAGATGATGGTCTCCCGTGTCTACTTTGGCAACTGGCTCAGAGACTACTCCCAGGCCATCGACGTCGGCACTGTCAAGTCCGTCTCCGCCGAGGCCATCCGGCTGCTCCTCTGTGTGCTGGGTTTCCTGACCTTCGGCTTTGGCTCCAAGGAGTTCGAGGTTACAGCCGATCGTCTGGGCTGCTACCGCCCCGAGGACCACATCGACAACCCCAAGAACTACGCCGACAACGAAGATGCGCGCCAGTACGACCGTCGTCTGAGAGGGCCCGTCGATGAGGGTGTCGAGCTCGCCATCGACCCCGAGACCGGCATGAAGAACTACATCGCCAACGAGCAGGCTGGCATCATGACTTCTGCTGCCCACGCCCGGAACCTGTTCTCCCGCTGCATTGAACTTGCTCGAGGATACTCCCGAAACAAGAACCAGGCTGACCTCTACGAGGCGATGCGTCTCATGGGTACCGGTCTGCACTGCTTGGAGGGTACGTCAATGACATGGCCACGCAAAAACTCACCACCGCCTTTGGCTCAATGAACCTGAACTGTTGCTAACGTCGTGGCTTGCAGACTTCTTCGCTCACAGCAACTACTGCGAGCTTGCCCTCATCGAGATGGGCGAGCGAGACGTGTTCCCCCACGTCGGTCGTGACACTCGGATCAGACTTAACGGAGCCAGAGACGAGGTCTACCCGATTGTCACTGGTACCTTTGGAGGTGTTGACTTCCTCCACTCCGTCACTGGCGAAGGTGCGTAATACACGACTGCTTGAACAACATGGCGGCTGACAACACCACAGTTTCCGACAAGCTCACCCAGAATGAGATTGAGGAGCTCGAGGGTACCCTCCAGGAGAGCAAGAACAACGACACGAGCATTCTGCGAGGCCTCCTGGACATGATTCCCGACGGTATCTTCGGCGGTAAGCACCAGAGCAACCGGGTGGACGAGCTCCAGAGCAACGCCACCTCCTCCCAGCTCCAGAACATGCAAGTATCTCCCAGGGAGCCTGAGGAGTACACCCGCTACATCCAGGATGTCTTTAGGCAAATCATGCCTGCCATCGAGTTCCACGATGAGGTCCTGCAAGGGATCACCGAGGCCATCGAGAAGATCCCCGTCTTGCCCAAAATCCTGGAGCAGCTCGAGGAGCAGCTGTCCAAGTTTGTCTTCTCCCTCATTGCCCCCTTCATCCTCCCCGTCATCAACCAGATTCGCAACGAGCTCCGCACCGGCTCTGCCGAGATCATTGAGAGCAGTGAGAGGGAGCAGCATATCGTCTTCGAGGATGACCGCAGCACCGACCCCACCCACTCCATGCTGTCCAAGGACCACTTCACCAACGTAAGAACCAGTTCCCCGTGATGAGTAGCTAGTATGAGAGCTTACGTCTTCACACAGATTCTGAACGAAGTCGCCGGCCGCTGCGCTGCCAAGACGCTGCACTGGGTCGTACCCCAGCTCATGGAGGCCATTGACGATGAGAGCATCGATGTTAACCGTACCCTGAACCGCATCATCTTTGGTGTTCTGCACCACCCCGCTCAGCGCGACATGGGCGAGGACGGTGCCCGGGAGGGACGTCAGCAGATCTTCAAGTTCATTGAGGAATGGTGGAACGAAATGGACAGGAGCCAGCAAGACGAATACCGCCGCAAGCTGACGCGCGAGGGTGTCGAACGTGGCGAGAACCACAGGGAGGGAGTTCACGATACCGGCCACGGCCACGGCTGCAGCGGCAAGCTCCACATGCGCAAGCAATTTGGCGAGCCTACGACCTGGGAGGATAAGGTTGCTGACAAGGCTGCCGGTGCCATTCTCGAGGGTGTTTCTGGCGGGATCGCCGGCCTCGTGGAGCAGCAGACCGGAGTCAAGGTCCCGCAGTACAAGCACAAGCAGGAAGAGGAAAGCAGCAGCGGCGGCGGTGCTGGAGGTCTGATTGGATCCATCCTTGGCGGTGTTTTCGGAAAGGATGAAAAGGAGACCCAGCATAGCAGCCGCCGTGACGACGACGGCGGTTACACCCAGACCACAACCGAGTACGGCCACCACGGCAACAAGTACGGTCAGGCCGAGTACAGCGAGACCCAGTACTCCAGCGGTGGCGGTCGCTCCGAGTACCGCAGATACGAGCAGGAGGACAGCCAGGGTGGACGCGAGACTAGCGGCTACGAGTATCAGCAGACTACAGAGACCCGACCCTCATACGGCGGCGGATATGAGCAGCGTACTGAGACCCACCGATATGAGGGCAACACCGAGTCCGGTTACGGCGGTGGTCGCCGTGACGATAATGAGGGCGGCTACGGTGGTCGTCGTCAGGAGGAAAGCAGCTACGGCGGTCGCCAGGAAGAGAGCTACGGCGGCGGCTACGGCGGCGGACGCCGTGATGATAACGAGAGCAGCTACGGCCGACGGGAGGAGAGCTATGGCGGCGGACGCCGCGATGAGAACGAGAGCAGCTACGGTGGCCGCCAGGAAGAGAGTTATGGCGGCGGCTACGGCGGCGGACGCCGTGATGACAACGAGGGCAGCTACGGCCGACAGGAGGGCGGTTACGGCGGTGGACGCCGCAACGACGATGACGATGAGCGTCGCGAGGGTGGCGGTGGCTTCGGCGACTTTATCGGCAAGGTCGCGGAGAGATTTGGCGACAACGACAACAACCGCAGATGGTAGGCGCGCGTTGTAGCTATTTCTCTTAATGGCCCTTAGCTTCGACACGGGAGTCGGGCGGAGAAGACGAGGCGGTTGAGCCCTGGTCGATGACGATGATGATGATGAACCGGTGGGCTTTTTTCACAGGCAGAGGTGTAGCTGGTGTCGTATGGGTTACAGGGTTCATGAAGAACAGTAGCGACAAAGAAAAGGTCCTGATTTCGGCGATGAAAGTTGATCGAGCGCGGATGGTGTTAGTGAACCATTGTTCCGAAGTCCATTCTCTTGATTGTGTGGCCGGGGTGGCCAGTTCCATTTAACTTGCACTTCCCCTTAGACGGGAACTCTCTGTGTGCTGTCGTCCCGTCATCCCGTCATGCCAGCAAGGGTACCGGGTGAATGAAGTCTCGTCGAAAACGCCCCAAATGCGCGGCGCGAAGAGCCTGTGGGCGGGGATGTGTTGTTGGCCCATCATTTGCCGCAAGCAGGCTCCGAACACCCCACAACCCATCTCTATCTGATCCGGAGCGAGGGCTGCCCGCGTGCCGCCCGCTGTCTTGCCGTCGCCTGTTCAGAATTGAACAACCCCCCCCCAAGGCCAGCTTTGGCGATGACGCGCTGTCGCCGAAAGTTAAGTGTTGAGTGTGTGGTTTTCCCACTTCTTTTTCGGTACGGCTAAACTGGGCCGCGGATCGTCGAGATGACGGTGTTTTCATTATCTGTCCCCCCCCCCCCCCTTCCTTCTTACCATGACAAGCGAACGCAAGCCCGATGGGGGGACAATCTTCTCGTAGAATGGAGGGTGGGGGGAGGGGATGGACGGGACGGATTCCGTCGTGGATGGTAAGAGAGTTCTGGTAAGTTGGTCTTCCTCCCCGTTCTGTTAGTAAGGATGATCGGCTGTGTGTATACACTGGATGAAGTCTCTCCGTCTGTCTGTCCCTCAGCAGGTTGTAGTACTTATAACTGCTATCGACTCCCCGTTGAAGCGGATCAATGAGGAGCAGCCCATCATACTCTAGAAGAAGGCGGGCAGACAATCAGACAAGATGCAGCCCACGCAATCCCTCCTCCCCTTCTTCTTCTCCCTTGTCCCCTATTTCTCTCCCTCGGCAGCTCAGTCCTCCGGCGCGGGCTCGACGACCCGCTACTGGGACTGCTGCAAGCCATCCTGCGCCTGGCCCGGCAAGGCCACCCAGCTGGCCGCCGGGCCCGTGACGACCTGCGACCGCAACGACAACCCGCTGTCCGACGGTGGCTCCACGAGCTCCGGGTGCGATTCAGGGGGGAGCGCATACATGTGCAGCGGCCAGTCGCCATGGGCCGTCGACGACGACCTCGCCTACGGGTGGGCAGCTGTGAGGATCCTCGGAAGCACCGAGGCCGAGTGGTGCTGCGCGTGCTACGAGCTCACCTTCACGAGCGGGCCCGTGGCTGGGAAGAAGATGATCGTGCAGACCACGAACACCGGCGGGGACTTGGGACAGAACCATTTCGACATTGCTGTGAGTTCGCATACTGATTTGCTTTTCACTTGCATGCTGGCCGTTTACCGTTGGCCGTTTGGAGTTGCGGCATGCTGGTGGTGGTCCATAACCTGCAGTCAGCACCCACGCCTTGACAAGGGCCGGGAACGCGATCGGCCATGGCGGAGGCACCGCATTGAACTTACCAGCATGCAATACAAAGATCAAGCAATAGTGCCAAAAAGATGGAAGAAGGAGAGATAAACAAACAAGAAAAAAAGGCTGACGAGATCCATCCACAGGTCCCCGGCGGTGGTGTCGGCATATTCAACGCTTGTACGGATCAGTACGGAGCACCGGCCAACGGGTGGGGCCAGCGGTACGGCGGCGTCAGCTCCCGCTCCGAGTGCGACGGGTTCCCGGAGAAGCTCAAGGCCGGGTGCTACTGGCGGTTTGACTGGTTCAATGGCGCCGACAACCCGGCGGTCTCTTTCAAGCAGGTGACGTGCCCGGCGGAGCTCACCAACAAGAGCGGCTGCAGGCGACAAGGGTAGCCGAGCATCTACCTCGAAAGCATGGGCACAACTCTTCCCGTCGACGCTGAATCCCATCCGTATGCGTAGTGTGTAGGTGTGTTACAAGCCCTCGTGGCACTGCATTCTTATGGACATGGCCTTGCACTGCTTCTTGTATGGGGGGGGAGGAAATAAAGGCCGACCCTTATTTCGGGTAAGCTAGGTCTCGACCATGATATTTGAGACCACTGTGATGAAGAGGCTTCGTGATAAACCGCTGTCACGAAACAGAGCCTGGAGGCTTGGCTCCTCAATCTTCTCCCGACCGGCGTGCACAGAGTCCCCGTCTCTCTGGGGTTTGTGGCAACGCGTGCGAACAAAATTATTTGGGATAACTTCTCCCTGCGTTTTACTCCAGCAAAGTCAATCGGAACCACTTGGTAAGCTATGACAGACGTGCACTAACCGTTTTGATGCCCGCCGTTATCGAGTGCCATTGACAAGATGGGCGCAAACCGTGGCTGTGGGCTGAGCAAACGAAGGGCCCTCGTGTTTTCGGGGCCACAGCTCTGCAACCCCCAGGACGCATACGGCCAAGACAGATGGCCAAGAAACTCACCTGGGTGTAATGCCCCCCCAAGAAATAAGACTGTCGGCACAGACCCCGAAGGCCAACCTCTCTATGCTGGCGGGTGCTCAGCGTTTGCGAGATGTAGATAAGGTCGGCCACGCACGATAAAATCAGAGCCCATCAAGAATCGTACATTTGCGCTCCCTTCTTCGTCGGGGGTATATTTGTGTAGTAGGTAGTGAGTCCTGGCGCGCTGACGAATCCGATTCTAGGCGTGCGTATAGCATGACGTAGGTACGATCGTCGGCTTCTCTTGCCGGATGAGACAAGGGATGGTGCCAGGTCGCGGCTAAGAGCCTGTGATATAGCGAGCGGCGAGCGCAGTGCAAGGGAAATGAGGGGGGCAGTTCGGCATATTCGGCTTACCTGGAAGAAGCGGCGAAGGGGTCAAACAACCGATTAATAAGGACTCTCGAGATCATGTTACAGTATCATTAAGACCGGATCGGTTTCGTCAAAGCATATGGCATCTGTGACTCTGTCAACAGGGATCGGGCAGCAAAACAGCCGTCACAGGCGTCAGTGTACTAGTGGCCCAGCGGGTGGCACCAACATGGATGTGAGGGGTACTTGGTATCAACACTCTCCATGTACCCTGCTCGTACAACGAAGTGGCTCTGCACGGCATAGCAAACATCCGGGGACGTTCTCAGAATCGCATCGCAGCAACGGCAATTTGCCCGGCCATAGTGTCAAGGTCAGGAGTCTGTTGTCGATAGGGTGCTCCCCTAGCGCCATCATGGAAGTCGACATTGAGGGATGTCGAGACGGGATGCCAAGGCGAGATGCCAAGGCGGGATGCCAAGACGGAGAGTGACAGAGACTAGAAGGCAAGGCACCGTCGCTAGAAGTTTTCCCTCTAGGCTGTGTTGCCGCGGAACAAACATAGTTGGATCCCGGGTGCTGAAGTTGGCATCGGTATCCATTCCAATCGTTGGCACAAGAGACGTTCTTACCCAACTATTGAGTGACATTGGCATGCAGGCCGCGCAATCTACTTTTTCGATAGTCGAGCGTTGATAGGCGGTCCGAGAGTGGGCGCCGCGGCCGAAGTTTCTCCCGTGCAAGGCCAGTGAGTTTGCTCGGTGCCGCGTGCCTCGTACGATATCATGGTCGGCCAAGGGGAAACTGCCGTTGCTATGCCATATGACATGCCCCAAGGTTCCCAAGGCTCGCCAATGCGTGGCAGAGAGACGGGAGAGGATGAAAACGGCGCGAAATGGGCATGTGTCACACGTGCAAGGTCCACGAGTCGAGGGTCTATTCGCCTGTTGAGAACACAAGAGGCTTGCCGTATGGCTGGGAATGCCAATGGAGAAAATGCCGGGAACGACCGGGCGGCATGGTCGAGGTGTTGGACACATCGATCGATGCGACTTGGTGCAAGTCAAGGTCGACAATTGTCGGCACAGGTTGCCGCGCATGGCGTTTGAGCCTCTTGGGGCGGGAAAAACGCAACCATGTCGAAAGGGTGCATGGGAAAGCCACGCCGCGCGTCAGGAAAACAGACCCGGCACCGCTGGGAGCATACTGTCTTGGATCGTTGAACCGAACATTGCCGCACCATCGCTGCAGACCATGGGCCTTCGTTCCCTCGCGCCTCCATTGCGACAAGACATAGATGCAGTAACAGCACGGTATTCGTAGCCGAGAAGTGGATGCATGGAGAGACAGGAAGACGCCTGTCTCTTTCTCTCCTGGTTCTTAGCTTCTGAAAGGGCGCTTGGTGTACGAGCGGTTCGGCAAGGAAGGGGTCGAGACAAATCGATGAATGGCGGGAAACGGGAGTCGGCACAGACGAACGGGGGAGGCCGCTGGTAAGATCAGAAGATCAGACAAGCTTCGAGGCAATAAAAAGCTTAGCAGCGATGACCTACGGTCTGATGATCACCAAGCGGATCGTGCTGGGTGCCGATGCGTATATTGATACGATGTAAACAGGCTAACACGGTAAGGTACGTAATGTAGGTAGAGAGCTTGTCCGACTTGTTTGAGCATTGCAGCATATGTCGTGACAAAGGACGACGGCACAAACGGCAATCGCGTGGCTGACTGGCGGACGCCAGGGTTTGTTGGGTGGTGGCACACCCATTTGCGCCGGCAGGTGCGGGACTGCAGGTAGGTAGCTGCAGGGTGGAGGCCTTGGGGGGGTCTTTTTTTTCGGGCTTAACTGTTGCCGGTTTGGCGGTTGACAGTGCCTGTTACCTAGTTTCCGGCATCCCATCCGGACCACGGTGTCTGCATTAGACTGCAATAGCGAAAGAGGACCGCTATAGCGAAAGAATAGATGGATGGAGATGGATAGGTGGATAGAGAGAGAGAGAGAGAGAGGAGAGAGAAACCAAGAGCAGCTAGCTGGCCTTTGTGTCTGATGTTCGTCTGGGATCAACCCAGACATCTTGGTACCGAAGGTATCTGAGCACGCGGATTCCAAACAGCCACCGTCGGTTTCTCAGAGGCAGTATGTATTGACGGGCAGTGTATTTTGCAAAAGCTGAGGTAGGTGCTTGCCCGCTCGGTTCCAATAGGGTAGGTAGGTACAATGAGGTATCTCTGTTAGTGGAGCCAGGGTCTTGGAGGAGACAAGAATACGGAGTACTTGGCTGCTATCTCGAGAAACTCTGAACGGCCTATATTGGCGAGGGCCCCACTCCACCATCTTCGCCCACCCACCAGACGTTGGCGCACCTTTGGTTTACATCCGTCTCACGCCTTACACACCTCGCACCCCGTCGTTGACCCACATAGCATTTCCCTTTACCCAAATAATGGAGCATTCCATTTCTGGTCACGACAAGTACTCGCTCTCTCTCGGCGAGGAAAGGAGAGAAAGGAGGGAAAAAACACTGGATGGCTGACTAACTACCTACCTACATAACTACCTACCTACATAGCACAAGCGAGCACAATGGCCGGCCGGAACAAGATAACCAAGACAAAAACTTGGGATGGTCCATGACTCCATGAGCATTTGACCGGCTAGGCGCATGCTCTCTCGTCCTGACACGAGCAAAAAAAAAAAAAAAAAGGAGAGAAAAAAAAACACAACGACAACAACGACGAGGGAGAGTATAGCCAGGACAGGGGGGCTGTGCAACTGTTCTATTGAATGTAATGCTCAGCAGGGTCAGGCAGTTATGGGGGTGTGAACACTCCAAGTACCTACCATGTGCCATCCTACCTACCTCCTGGTGCGCGCCTCTCAGTACCCGACACAATTTATTACCCAGCGCCTTCGCTACGAATACCTGTTTCCAAACCCTTCTCTCTCCCTCGCCCTCTCGCTCTCTCACTCCCTCCTTCCCTGCCCCCCTGCTTTTGCTTTGCTTCCCCGGCTCTGCTGCTATCGCATCATCCGTCCCGTCCGCCAGCTTTCATCCAGTCTATCCGTTCAATTCAATCCATCATCCATAACCCATCCCACCAAAGCCGCCCGCACACAAACACGCTCACACCCCTGGATCGGATTAGACCTGGACCTGCCCCCCCCCCTAATTGACGAGATCAGTGTGCAAGTGCAATAGTGCACCGGCATCGCACTAGGAACGACCTGATTCGAACCCCGCTTGGCATTGAAAATCGCGCCGGCCCCAGCTCTATATTGATACTCTCTCCCTCTCTTAGCTCGCGAATCTCCATCATCTCTCTGCCTGCTTCTTACCAAATCCAACCCTACAACTAGGACCGCATTGCGGCCCTTTTCTCTGCGAGACCTTCAAACTCGGATGCCGAGGCTCATCCAGTCCATTCCAGCCCGACAAATCCCCGTATTCCTTCGCCTTACCGACCGACCTGAACTGTAATCTACTCGTCCTATCCGCCTCGCCTGTTCTGTTCCATAACCCGACATCCGCAGCCAGTCCGCCAACCCGTCCACCAAAGGTTGATGGTTTCGATGCCCTCAACCAGTTCGCTGAACATGTGAGAAAAGCATGTGTAAGTCATTTTTGTAACACTCTCGGATCTATCATCTTTAAATATAGATCCATATTTGAATATGCGCAAAGGAAGTCAACGGTGTTCAACCCAACTGGGCCAGCCTTTGGCGGGCTCTACTTCCTTCGTTGTCAACAAGTACCAAAATGCATACAACACAGCCTGGACACCCTTCGCTGACGTCTCGCAGCTCTCGAACAGGTTCGAAATGTCGTGTATGTCGACAAATTTCTTTTTGTCCTCGCTGCTGTTTAAACCCCTCTTCAATCCGCGCCTGCGGTTGATGCACGCTGCCCTGTCCGATGCTGGCTTTCCGATCATGGCCACACCATCCAGTAACTCTCTTTGGCCGATGTCGCGATACCTCTCAAACGTTGCTCTCGTGGTCGCATCTCGCCGCGTTGCCTCCCAATCCTCCACTCTCCCTCTTCACCGCACGATTTTAGCACCTTTGATACTAACTTGCCGTTGTGCAGTCTGCTGTTCAGTAATCCTGTCTGGTCAGGTGCAAACACCATCCCATCGACTCTCATCAAAAACATCACTTCTCTCTCGGTTGGTCTTTCAGTCGCCTTGGTCTTGCCCCCATGTTTTGGTCTAACCCAGTGTGCAGACTTCCCTAGCCTACCAAGATACCATCTCAGGAAATCTCACCACACTGAGCTCTATAAACTCCGAAACACAGGATGGGGTTATTAAAGGTCTGCTCTACGTACCAGACCTCAGTACCAGCGACCCATGTTACGAACAGCAGTACGACATCATTCCCCGCAATGCCACCACCCAGGCGAGCCTGCCTCCCACCAACTACAACTTGATTGCTCTTGCGCCATGGTTCAACGCCTCTTGTACCAAAGCCTACCTTGCATCCGCCCGCCTCGATCCCATCCGCGCTTTCGTCTTCTACCGGCCCGACAATTCAACGGGGGAGCCACAAGATGCCGAATCGTCCTTATGGGATCTCGAAGATGGTGGTGCCTGGCGCTACCAGAACCGTTATCCTATATTCGCCATACCCGGCGCCGAAGGCCAAAAAATGATGCACCAACTCAGTCTCTACTCTGGCAACATATCCCGAATCCCTCACGGAGACCAGATAGCGCAAATATACGACCCCCATGACGACGACTATGTTCGTATATGGACCGAGCTGACGGTAAAGGACCGTGGCAGTGTCCCTGCAATGTGGACCTGGATTCTTACAGTTGTCGGCGTTGTGTTGTTCATCATTGCCTGTCTGTCGCTCACAATGCACCTAGTGCAGCGGAGACGCAGAATATCACTACGTAGGAGGGTTTTAAGTGGCGAAGTCGACCTAGAAGCGATGGGCATCAAACGCGTCACAGTACCAGTCACTCATGTCAAGGGCTTTCCATTATTCACGTACAGTTTTCAGCCGGATATGATTAGCACACCCTCTACGATGAGGCCCTCGAAATCGACTAGGTCACCGCGAAGCATGCGGGCCGATCAACGCACCATATCCGAGTCCACCACAAGCAGATCCAGAGCGAGGAGAGGCAGTCAGAACAGCGCGACAAGTGCCGTCGCAACGAACTATCAACCGCAATGCCATATCTGCCTGGAGTATTATGTGGACCGAGAATCAGTCATTCGAGAGTTACCCTGCGGCCACATATTCCATCCCGAATGTATCGACGAATTCCTCGGCCTGAACAGTTCGCTATGCCCGATTTGCAAGAGGAATATGCTACCGCGTAATTACTGTCCAAAAATCTCCAACGGCATGGTACGCCGTGAGCGGGCGATTCGGCGTTTGAGGGAAAGGGTAGTGTTCGACGAGTCAGACGATGAGGAAGCGGAGGTGAAGAGCAAAAACTGGGGCAAGCGGCTATTCGGCACGGACAAAACGGCATCGTCACCGACAGAAACACCAATGACATCCGTCATCCCCTCGAAGCCTCCAAAGGCAGGTCAAGATGCAGCCAACACTAGAACCCCTTCGGGCTTGGAGGCTGTATCCTTGTCACGAACGCTTGAGCCTACTCAGGAGGAGCAAGAGGATTTGGAACAGCCCTCAAGTCGATCCGATGGTCGAGAAGAACCACCGCAACCGCCGCCTCTGCCAGCTGCGATAGCTCAACACTCTCACCGACACAAGCGCCTTAAAATAGGCGGGCTGCGGCTTCGTGCTCCTTCGCAGGATGACTCGAAACAAGCTCACCACCGACCAGAAGGGCGCAAGAGCCCCTCGGCGTTAGCACGGGCGCGGATGAGAGCGCTCGCAGGCTCCCCTTTCGACGACCCAGATGGACGCTCACCAGCATGTAAGTACTGGAACGTGGAGGGTTTTGAACAATTACTAATCGAGACTGCAGGGAAACACTACGTCGTAAAGGTCTTCCCAGGCTTTTCGTGACCCGAAAATCTTCCAGGCATTCTATTCAGTTTGGGTTCGCATGGTGCAATGGCGTTTTAGGTTCAGGCAGAGGGACTGCCTCAGGGTCGCATTTTGAAAAGAGCATGACGGAATATGATGATATATACCAACGACACTGCCTCGCTACTACCCTCTGACAGGGTGACGGGGAGAGATTTTCACTTCAGTCGCGACGATCAGATTTGGTGGGCTTAGAGACGCCCTTAACAGTTATACTTTGGCATGGAAACGCTCTTCATGGGACTTGGCCTGGAGTCTCAACTTTTTGGACTGGATATACCCCATTGGGAAAGGGCATGCATCTAATGGCGATTTGGGGGTGCCACGCGTGTTATTAAAAGTTTAGTGTATGATGGTGGCCGCCGGTTTCGCGCCGCCGGTCGGCCCTGGGCCTTTGCTGAGCCTCTGGGTCAAGTGCATCCTTAATGGAGATACCAAACCTACTGCCGCATTTCCGTTCTCCTTTGAAGTGTCTCTCAACCATCGCGTTTGATTCTGTGCTCCGGTGAAGAAAAGAGAAGAAAGGAAATAATGATAACAACAATAAATCAATGTGAATTTACAAAAACGTTGTTTCCTACATATCGCTCCTGTAGCTGTTTCGTTTCGTCCGAATACCTAGAATATACACAAACTTTGATCCAATTTGTTTCGCCAAGCCAAACGCCTGCTCATCTCAAGGACGAGTTTATGCACTACAAATAAGCTCTAGAAAGTTTCATCCACTCTCAGTCTTGGCATTCCATCTTTCAGCCAGGAACCCTCTGGAGCGTTCTCCTCATAATCGGCCGTCAATGAGCTTATCGTCCTCCTTGTTACCGCCCCTCACCAACGCCTCGCGAATGCGATCGTTCTCGTTGGCGCGGATTCGCTGCCGTGCATCCTCAAGCCGTTCCACACCGCGGTCGATCGTCTCGATGTGCACGGTCAGCGGGACTGCGGCGGTTGAGTCACGCGCAAGCTCCGGCGCGGCGACGCGGTCGCGAAGATCACCCAGGCCAGCCTGAATCTTCTCGAGGTCGACTATGAGCGCCGATACCTGAGCGACTGCCGTGCTGCGCTGGCGGTCCACCTGTCGAAGTAGGGAGAGTTGGGCGTTGAGGTTATGCAGTCGTTTGTTATTCGCCCCGACAAGGGTCCACAACGTCCAAAGAACCTCGTCGCGGCGAGACTTGACAGAGTTCGACGAACGCGTGACAAGCTCGTAAATTTGGTTGAGATTCTCCTCGGCTTTTGTCAGGAGAAGTAGCACCCCTTGTGCCTCAACAATAAGCGAAGAGATGCGGTCGGAAACCATAGCAGTATGCTCAATGTACTTGTCGAGAAGGGTCCGTTCTGAGAATGGCGTTACGGTAGGCGTGAATGGGTAGAAAAACCAGCTGGTCCACTGAGAGATGACACCAACGTCGGTGGTCTCTGAGGCAGATAGTGTGTCCAGGTAGCGAGAAGTCCAGCGGTTGATGGAGATAACGGAATCAACAGCGGATCCGACATGAACGTTGAACTTTTGCAAATCAGCAGCTGTTAAACGCACAGTCTCGATATACTCGTTGAATTCGTAGACAAGCTCATCCCGCTGCGGCAATTCCGAGTAGCGAACCATGGTACGCAAGTCACGGATCGATGACTCGGAGCGCTTCATTTCCATGGGCAAAGAAACACCGTCGGCGCTGCGTTCGAGAACCTGTTCAAACTGAGACTGAACGTTCATGAGATCGTCAAACTCGACGTTTGAAGACCTAGGGTCTTGGCCACCGCTGGTAGACGAAGCGAACGAAGGGCAGAACGGAAGGTCTAGATATGCCGCTCCTGGGATACGACAAAGCGGCGAGAGAGATGTTGTTATTGACTTGGTAACCAAGTTTTGGAGCATGATGGAGGCCCCAAAGAAGAGCCAAATAGCCAAGCAAAGCGCCAATGGCTTTTGGATGTAGCTAAGAGCCATACCAATGACATTAAAGACCCATGCCAGGATGTTGAATATTGCGACTGGTAAAGATTCTGACAGGCGTTCTGTGACAGTTCTTTGCTCCTCTGCCGTATTGTCGTAGTAGCCTCTACCTCTGCTGGGATCGCCGCGCCGCACCTTCACGGGGCTCCCGGTGCTTGCTTGACGCATGGCACGGCGCCGTACATCTTGCTGCTGATATGGATCATCACCCGGGCGAATGGTCCGCGATGACCGGCCACTGTTCTGCCGGGGGCTGGTACTACTACCGGGAGTAGCGCTGAAGCGCATCGACGGCATGACAAACTCCGGGTCCGGAGAACGGTTGGGATCCCGACGAACGGTAGGTTGGAAGGGCGAACGGAGAATGACGCGTTCATCGTCTGCCTTGTTCATGAAGTCCTGAACGCTGTGATGGGACTCTTGTGAGCCGCTGATGCTGAATGACTGCGAAGGAATCTGCGATGGGTCTGTGGATAGGGAACCCTCATCGTCCTCGAGATCAGGGAGTATAGAGGTGTCGAAGCTGTCATTTTCGCCACCCTCGACTAGGCGCCAACTGCTCTCAACTGGGAGGTCTTGTTGACGTCGCGGAGGCATCGTGAATGAACTTGTGTTGATGAAGCGTTAGGGCGGCCTCTTGTTGTTTGAGCCCAATACCGAAGTAAAGATGAATAGTGTTGGCGCTAGCTATATAATTTTGAATAAAGTCAACAACCCTAAGGCAGAGGCGCGGACTGTAGATATTGTCGAGACGCGCTTACCGCGTACAGTGGCAAGTTTAATGAAAGGGTCGCGAAATGCGGCCACTTCAATACTTAACAAGGGTGCGTGGAAACGATGTCAATGTTTCTAAAATACCCTCGAGTGAGTCATAAGGCGGGAGCTAAAAAGCAGAAACCGTTACAACGGCTGAGGGCAAAATTAGGCATAGACAAAGAAGGATCGAGGTTGGGTAAGTATGTATGGTCGAGGTTCACAGAAGTTCACGCACTCGGTTTCCCCTCTGGCGTCATAGGCTCCAGTGAGCGTCCCTTGCATGCACAGCAGCTGTCGCGAGGGCCTGGCAGCTTCTAATAGTGGGTAGCTTCCTCCGCCAACTCCGCTGAATTGGCAGCAGCCGGACCATGTGGCAGCGTGACTCGACAGTGATAAGCTTCGCTTCCCCTGGCCGTCACATGGACCAGGCGATAAGGCAGGTGGAGGGTGCAACACCCCACGTTGCTCATTCTTGTCAGCAAGAACCGGTGTCTCGGCAAATCATAAAGCCGAAACCCGGGGAGCGGTGGCTTTGCCCCACTTGGCTTCGGCGCGATTTCCACCACGTCAGTCAGGTCTAGATGAAGGTCGGAATTTGAGTTGCCTTGCCTGCTTTAACAACCACCTCGTTTTTAACAATTTCCTTTCTGCGTCGTGCGCGCCAGAAACTTGCCTGCCACCATATCAATCTCGCACAACTCAACCACCCGCGATGTCGACAGGCATGGATCAACGCGAGCTTGAATCCTGCATCAAGCAGCTCAACAAAATCGTCCAGGCGAACGAGCCTCCTGCGACTGCCCTTGCTCTCCTTGAGCGTCTGAAAAAGGAAGCCGCCCCCACGGAGGAGATGCTCAGGGTAAGTGGCGATTGATATTGTTTACCAAGCGGTCCAAGCATCGCTAGTTCATCTCATGCATTGCGCCTGCGGTGCCATATTTATGCATATATAATACAAAACTGACCTGTGTGCTCTCATGCAGTCCAGTAGAGCTGGTGTTTTTGTCGGCAAGCTTCGATCGAACTCGAACAAGGACATCGCCCGAGCCGCTACCGAACTTGTCCACAAATGGAAGAAGCTCGTCGAGGCCGAGAAGCAGGGCAAGATCAAGAAGCAGTCGTCCCCCGCGGCTCCTTCTCCGACCCAGGCCTCCGCACCAAAGCCCTCCTCGTCAAACGCGATGAACCAACCCTTCAAGGGCAATCCAGAGCTCCGTCGTGCCAAGACCGATGGCTGTGACACCAAGCGTACCGGTGACGAAACGCGCGATTCCTGCATCGAGCTGATCTACAACGGTCTCGCCTACCGATCTACCGCCCCTATTAACGATGTTCTTACAAAGGCCGTCGCCGTGGAGTATGCTGCGTACATCCATTTCAAGGGTGTCACCAAGGAGTACCGTGAGAAGCTGCGCTCCTTGTTCAGCAATCTCAAGGTCAAGAGCAACCGTCAGCTCGGTATTAACGTCATGGAGGGCAAGATTACCCCGGAGCGGTTCGTGGTCATGACCCATGAGGAGCTCAAGTCGGATGAGCAACGGAAGAAAGAGGACGCTCTTCAGCAAGAGAACATGAAGAAGGCCCAGGTCCCCATGGCCGAGAAGAGCATCAGCGATGCTCTCAAGTGTGGCAAATGTGGTCAGAAGAAGGTTAGCTACAGCCAGGCGCAGACGCGCAGTGCTGATGAACCGATGACGACATTCTGCGAGTGTACTGTCTGCGGTAATCGCTGGAAGGTTCGTTTTCCACGTTTCCACTGTTCTCATTTTCGAGAATACTGACAAGTCTCCAGTTCTCTTGAGCGCGCGATTCCTGGGAGGGGAGGTTCTCACTTGTTTTCGACCGACGGCGTGATTTTTCGCTTATACCTGAGGCACGGGATGGTCTTGCATTTGGCACTCGACAGTGGTGCGGTCTTGGTTGGTACGGAGTTGGGGATGAGGAAAGGGCCTCTTTTTGCTCCTTTCAAACTATTCTTTTTTGGCCCTGAGCACGAAGAACCCGAGCACTTTCGCCGCTTCTTTACAGTGGATTTCATTCAGAAAAGAAGTACACTCTAGAAGGGAGTTTCGGTAGATCCACATTCAGGGAGGGGTAGCCGCCGATCTCAAAATAGAGACGAACAGTTGGGCTATCGCAACGAGCCTACACGGTGTTGATGGCCTCAAATCGTGCCTGTTCTGTTCATTGCTTCGCTGGGTCGATCTTCAACACTGAGAATAGATCGGCCGAGTGCTCGTCCTCCTCCAAACCCATCGCCGCTACATGCTTCCAGAATTTGCTAAGGTGCCTTGTGCCTGAGTCGCAAAGGATCGTGACGACTTGGCTGCCCTCGGGCAGTCGTGTGGCCGCAACAACCGCCGCAACGCAGTTGACAGCACTGCTGCTGCCTGCAAAGATACCATCCTTCTCCACCAGCCACCTGGCCATGCGGCACGCCTGCTCATCCGTTACCTTGATCACGTCGTCAATCAGCTCCCTGCCTGCCTCAAAGTTCTCAGTCACCCGGTTGATGCCGATTCCCTCCACGATCGTGTCGACCTGCTGCCGCCGCCGTGTCCCCTCCTTCTCCGTGTTGGAATACATGACGCCGTGTCGGATCTTGTTGTACAGCCCGCTGCCCTGGGGATCGGCTAGAATGACCTGTAGACCTGGTAGGCGGGCCTCCTCCTTCAAGTACTTGGCCACGCCCGCAATTGTTCCGCCTGTGCCGGCGCCGGCTACGAAGGCGCCCAGGGTGCCGCCAGTCTGGTACACAATCTCGGGACCTGTGGTGTGCAAGTGCGCCGCGAAGTTGGCCGGGTTCTCGAACTGGTCTGCAAAGTAGCCCACGCTGCCGTCGCCCGCCTTGGCGGCGTGCTCCACAGCCCGCCGTCTCGCAAGATTTACAAAGTGGTCGGGCGACGCGATCGGCGCCGGATCCACGCGCTCAACCGTTGCGCCGAGATGACGGAGCAGATCGACCTTTTCCATGGCCATGTCGTTGGGCATGCAGATGTGCGCGCGGTAACCCCTCGCGCGTGCCAGCGTCGCTAGCGAAATCCCCGTGCTGCCAACGGTACCCTCGTAAATGGTGTCGCCGCGCCCGGGGACGAGCTGGCCGGCGGCCTCGGCGGCCTCGATCATGGACAGCGCGACACGGTCCTTGGGTGTGTTGCCTGCGGCATTGAGAAACTCGGCCTTGGCTAGGATGGTGCGACCCGTCGCCTCGCTGAGGGAGCGGATCTTGATGAGTGGGGTGTTGCCGATGGCGCCGGCAACGCCGTCTGCGATTAAAGGTGGGTTCCACGTGGCGCCTGCCGCGAGGGCCGCCGCCTCACCAGCTTCGGAGGCGGTCTCATGGTCTTCAAGCTGCACGGGAGGTCCCCAGAAGAGACTGCTACGCCGGGAAGGGTCCGTGGAGGACGGATCCCGGCGGGTACGGCGGCGCTGGTAGCGGCGCTCGAGGTCGGGATAGAAGTCTTTGAAGCCCAGTGTGACGAGGATGCCGGCCGCGAAGGCGAGCGCCAGGGCGGCCGAGCCGTATGCTTTCGGATGATTGCTCAGAGACATGTTGTCTGTGTCATGTGCCGTGCTCCATCGTTCACATGAGTCCCCACGGCCGTTTTTGTTGTTGTAGGTGTTACGGTCTTGGAGGGCTCGAGAATGCGAAAGAGAGAGATAGAGCAAAAAGGAGAGCGCATGAATTTCTCACCATCTTTTTTTTACATGGCACTTGCCCGCTGCACGGTGGGGTGATGTCATTTTTGGCTCTTCAGGACCCCTGGATTAAGCCTCAGCATGCGCTGCGCCTGACAACTCACGAGGACTGAAGTCTTAGGGCGCCTCGGCAGGCACCCCTGCTGAACAAACTGCAAACCTACCTACCTACCGGTAGTACGGCGGATTAACAGCTACCCCGTCAATCTCGAGAGAGGGAGCTCGGGCCACGCTCGAACCTTTGCCAACACGCGGAGCCGACGATTTGCGGTTTTTGGTCCATTTGTTGACTTTCAACCCCTTCCCATTCTGTCCTGCGATCTCCTGCCCGAACCTCCCCCGGGATGGACTCCCCCGCCGTCACCCGCCTCTTTCGGGAGCTCTTCCGCCGTCCCGCGTGTCAATCTCGCCGGCATTGCACAACTGCCGCCGCCGCCGCCCTCCCGACTTTGAGCCAACATCAACCTCGTCCTCACAATCACCGCAACCACAATGCCGTCGCAGCTGCAGCAGCACCGTCAGTGGCCAGCAAGGCCTCGTCCGCACCTCAACAACGGCGGCACTATGCCGTAAAGACGTCCTCTGAGAGACTGGAAAAGACGAACGAATCCAAGTGGCAGCAGCGGACGTCTATCTTCCCGAGTGACCGCGCGGATGAGTTCGATACCTACCCGGTCCTCAGCGCACACGACTTGGCCGCCCGCTCGACGCGCCCGCGTAAGGTCAAAATGCTCACTCGCGACTTCATCGAGGATAGCCTATACAACCCAGCGTACGGTTACTTCTCCACACAAGCCGTCATCTTCTCTCCCGGTCAACCCTTCGACTTCCCTGCCTTCCGTGACGAGCCGCACTTCTACCGCGAGCTGGGCCGGCGGTACACCGAGTTCGAGGACGAACTTGACGACAAGGAGGGGGTCAACAGTGCCCGTCCGCTTTGGCACACGCCCACTGAGCTGTTTAGGCCTTACTATGGCGAGGCCATCGCCCGCTACCTCGTCTCCAACTACCGCCTCACGACGTACCCCTACCACGATCTCATCATCTACGAAATGGGCGCCGGCCGCGGCACGCTCATGCTCAACATCCTTGACTACATTCGTGACCTCGATCCTCAGGTCTACGCCCGCACGCAGTACCGCATCATTGAAATTTCCCCGGCCCTCGCCTCGCTACAGCGTCACCACCTCCTCTCGACCGCCGACTCGCGCGGCCACGCATCCAAGGTGGAGATCATCAACAAGTCTATATTCTCCTGGTCGGAGCGCGTCCCCTCGCCGTGCTTCTTTCTCGCCATGGAGGTGTTTGACAACTTTTCCCACGACTGCGTGCGCTACGATCTCGCCACCGAGGAGCCCCTCCAGGGCTCCGTCCTGATCGATGCCGATAACGACTTTTACGAGTTCTATTCCCCGGACCTTGACCCCGTCCTCGCCCGCTTCCTCCGCGTCCGCCACGCCGCCACGGGAGGCCGCTATCCAACCCCCTACCCGGCTAACCGCATGCTGCGCCAACTCAAGTCGCGTCTGCCGCTGATGCCGAACCTATCAGAGCCTGAGTATATCCCAACCCGCCTGATGCAGTTCTTCGACGTGTTGGAGAAGTACTTTCCCGCCCACCGCCTTGTCACGAGCGACTTCCACTCCCTCCCGGATGCCATTCCGGGCCTCAACGCGCCCGTCGTGCAGACGCGGTATGAGCGCAAGACAGTGCCTGTGACAACGCCTTTGGTGAGACGCCTTCCACACTCTGACTGAGCGAGACAAGGATTGCTGACCAGCTGTACAGGTCCACCAGGGCTATTTCGATATTATGTTCCCGACGGATTTTCAAACCATGGAAGCCATGTATCAGGCCATCACCGGCAAGCTCACGAGGCTCACATCGCATGGCGACTTCATGCAACGATGGGCGTTCCTCGAGGACACCCAGACACGCAGCGGAGAGAACCCTTTGCTCAGTTACTATGAGAATGCCAGCGTGCTGGTCACTGTATAAACACATAGAAAGAGTATGCCCATTGGGAGGCACTCCCGCATTGCATTGGCTTATACTTTTTGAACTCTGTTTGCTTTGCCTGGTGTTGATTGTTCCAACACATAGCAGCAAGCTGAGAGGAACAAGCTTTTGATATTTCAGTACTCCTGTGTGATCATCCTCCATAACCGCAACGTAAACATATCGTCGCCCATGTTTCTATCCATCTAATTCCCCGGTATAAAGTAAATCATTGTTGCCAGGCATGCTTCTGCAGCACGCAGGCGGGAATCTCATGTCACGCTCAAATGTTGAGCTTCTCCTTGAGCCACTTCTCCGCCGTGGCGACAGCCTCATCCAAATTCTCGGCCTTGGTGCCCTGTCCTTGACGGGTAGGTTCCTTGCCACCGGATTTGCCTCCCACAATCTCACTAACTTGGGCGGCCCATTGCTCGGCGGTGACACCCTGGGAAGATAGATGCTAGACTTTGAGTTAGCTTCGGTTCATAACAAGTCTTTGTAGTGACAGCTTACAGTTCCGACGTAAACACCGTGGGCAACAGAGCCCTCGTTCTTGCTTCCACCGAAGAGATAAACAGAGCGTTCTTTGTCCTTGGACTGGAAGTGCTTGACAACTTCACCGATGGCCTTGGCGTTGGCAGAAATGGGGAGCTGGCCGACGAACCACTTGGAGTCCTTGTTCTTGTCAAAGTGAGCGACAACGGTATCGAGCGCAGTCTTCGCCTCGGCCTTCTGGCGCTTCTTCTGCTCATCCGTTACAGCCTTGATAATCTTGTCAAAGCGCTTCTTAATGTCCTCCTTGGTGAGAGTAGAGATGGTCAGCTGGTTGAGGGCGTGTTGCGTTGTCTTGATCTCTTGCTCCTTTTCAGGACCAAAAGGCAACACCTCGAGGGCATCCAACCGCTTGGAGAACTCATCAGCCTCACGCTGCACTTGGTGCGCAGCATCGCCAGTGTAGGCGATGATGCGGCGGATACCTTTGGCAATACCGCTCTCCTCAACAATGACGAGGTCCTTGATCAGCCCCGTCTGGTCGACGTGCGTACCACCACAGAACTCAACGCTAATCTTGCGCCACTCGGGGTTCTTGGGGTTGGCAAGCAGGGTGTCGACATCAACACCGACGGACACAACACGAACAGGGTTGGGATACGTCTCGCCAAATACTGCGCGAACGCCCTCAATTCCCTTGGCCAGATCGAGATCTACTTCCTTAGCGTAGATCTTGCCGTTCTGGCGAATATAAGAATTGGAGAAATCCTCAATCTTCTTCAACTCGGGAATGGTGACACCAGTCTTGTGGGAGAAGTCGAAACGCAACTTCTCGTTGTCAACCAGAGAACCCTTCTGATTGACATCATCGCCGAGGACTTCCCGAAGAGAGTGGTTAAGGATATGGGTAGCCGTGTGGTTGTTGCGGATGGGAGACCTCCTCAGCTCGTCGTACTCGCAAATGACTTCGTTGCCAGAAGACAACACACCGTACTCAAGGTAACCGTTGTGGACAATGTAGCCTCCGTGGTTCTGCACGTCCAACACCTTGAACTCGGCAACATCGTCAATGACGATGCGTCCGGTATCGGCGACTTGACCACCGGACTCGGCATAGAAGTTGGTCTTGTCCAGCAACAGCCCGAGAGGAGTGTTCTCGGCAATGTCCTTGGTCGACTTGACGAAACCCTTGCCGTCGTAGATCAACTGCACCTTGGCCTTGGAGTCACCCTTGACGAACTTGGCATCGTCGTCGGTTCTCGCGACGTTCAGCTGCTGCTCGAGCTCGGCGATTTGGTGAACATTAAGCTTTGCGAAAGTCTGGACAGAATTCTTGACAACCTTGCTGGCTTCGCGAGCCTTATCTTGAGCAGCCTTGACCTCGTCGTCATCGATCTCAAGCTTACGCTCCTCAGCCATCAGCTTGGTCAGATCCACGGGGAATCCAAAGGTGTCGTAAAGTCTCCACACCTCGGCGCCAGAGAGCTTCTTCTCGCCCTTCTTGATGGCAGCGTTGGCATACTTCTCAAACTGGGCCTCGCCACGGTCAAGGGTACGGGCAAAGGCCTCTTCCTCCTCGTCGAGAATCTCCCTGATGTCATCTTGCTTCTTGACAATCTCGGGGAATTGCTCGCCCATTTGGTCAACAAGAGCAGGAAGAATCTTGGAGAAGAAGGAGCCGATCTCGGCATTGAAGTACTTGCGAGCGTAACGGACACCGCGACGCAGAACTCGGCGGACAACGTATCCGCGGCCGTCGTTGTTCGGAACAGCACCGTCAGACATGGAAAAGGTCAAAAGGCGGATGTGGTCAGCAATGACACGGTAGGCGGTGTCAATGCCGTCGACATCGTCAGCGCCGTACTTATCGGTGTACGGCCTGGCACCAGTGACCTCCTCTATTCTCTTAAACAGAGGGGTGAAGATATCAGTAGCGTAGTTGGAGACTGTGTTCTGGAGAGCAGACACAAGACGCTCAAAGCCCATACCAGTATCGACGTGCTTTGCGGGCAGGGACTTGAGGGAGCGATCGGGTTGGCGGTCATACTGGATGAAAACGTTGTTCCAGATCTCGACAACCATGGGGTCATCCTGGTTGACCAGGTCGGAGGCGTTACGGCCGCCAATCTTGTCGTAGTGAACTTCGCTGCAAGGGCCGCAAGGGCCTTGATCACCCATCTCCCAGAAATTGTCCTTCATGTTGCCGGGCAGGATGTGGTCCTCGGGTACACCGACGGATTGCCACAGGCCCTTGGCCTCCAGGTCGGGCTCAAGGCCCATGTCGGGGTTGCCCTCGAAGTAGGTGACGTACAAACGGTCAGGATCCAGGCCGTAGACCTTGGTCAGAAGTTCCCAAGACCACTCAATGGCCTCCTTCTTGAAGTAATCTCCAAAGGACCAGTTGCCCAACATCTCGAAGAAGGTGTGGTGGTAGCTGTCCTTGCCGACATCGTCAAGATCATTGTGCTTGCCACCGGCGCGAATGCACTTCTGGGTGTCAGTCGCACGCTTCAGAGGGTACATGGGGTCCGCCTTGGAGATTGTTCCGAGGAAAATGGGCTTGAATTGGTTCATGCCCGCGTTGGTGAAGAGCAAGGTGGGGTCATTGTGAGGGACGACGGAGGAGGAGGGCACTGCGATGGAGCAGGTCAAGTTAGCCAAGTGAAGTGTTTCAAGCGGATCAAGACGTAACGCTGGCAAGGTGAAGCACCAAAGACGCGACGTCTACTACAATGCCAGGTTGTGGTGGTGCTTAGGGGGCGCTGGTGATATCGTACCGATGGTGTGGCCCCTCTTCTCGAAGAATTCGAGGAAAGTCTTGCGCACGACGACGCCGGGCCACTTTGGCTCAGCCATGACTGCAGTGGACAAGGTCGAACTTGAGTGAAAGTGCCTCTGCGGAAAAATGGCACTCGCTGCGATGGATGCAGACAGCGTAGGGGTTGTTGTCTGGGGTCTGACCGACGCTCGAGTCCAGCAAAAAGAGGTAGCAACTGTTGATGTGGAGGTAGACGTTTTATCACAGGTGTGACTCTTTTGGCGGGACGAGCAGCTCGTTAGTGCGGCAGCTGCATCCCCATTGCTTCGGGGTAGGAGGGGCAGCGATAGCGGGAGCGGATGCGGGCGCAGATGTGGGAGGGGCGGCAGCGAGGGGTCCTCTGGCCCAGCGCTTTCATAGAAACTTCTACAAGCTCGCTGGGGATGAGTCAACGCCAGTACAAAAGCGCCAGAGCTCCCCAACGCAGGCCATCCGCCACAGCTGAGCGCCAGTGAACGCACCCGCGCCCCTCGTAAGAGCACAGTAGCTTCTCGGGCCATTCCTCTGACTTCCCTTTCCCCTCAAATACAACCACCTGGACGGACGAATTGGAATTGCGCAGGAAGGTCAGAACGTCTCCTCTTTTTCCTCTTCCTCAACCTCTTGCGCTCTCAAACAAGGCACTCTCTCTGCCTTTGCCAAGGAAAAGCGAACAATCAATAACGCGCTGTTGGCTGTGTCTTGCCAGCGAAAGATTGTTGTTACCGAACCAACGTCATCTGGATTTCAGATTGACTTTGGAACTGCGTTCTTCGCTCTGCGACGGGATATTCCCTACTCTTCCGGAAACGGCGATTCAAGATTAACAGTACCGCGCCTTTACCGCCTTACCTCGTATCTCGACTGCGAGCCCCGATTGGTGGCGGTCCTGTACGCTCTGCTGCTGCTGCTCAGCTGCTCCTGTGGTATCTCTCTTCGCTGCGATTCCAGTGGCCGTTTTGGGGTTTCGGTCAATTGACCATCGTACCCGCGTTCGTCCTTGTTGTCTTCGTCGTCTGTTGTCGTCGGTGTCGGGTCAGCCAGCCTTGTGGAAAAGGGAACTAGTAAGTTGGTAGTAGCAGTTGGGGGGTTTCAGCAGGAAAGTGTTGCACGCGAGAAAGTTCCAGCAAAAAGTCGCCGAATATGCTGCTGCACGGGGCGCAATCTCCCTCCCATGCGCTGGATTCCTACGCGATGGAGCCGGATCAGCACCAACATCATCAAGCGAGGCAGCTAAGGCGCAAAAGAAAAGCTGAGTCCCAAGACAACGAACGTTTGTCCAAACGACTCAGTCTCTTGAATCTAGGTAAGCCAAACCCACAAAGAAGGTTTATTGGCGTCTCCTTGCGCTAACATCTGCATGCAGAGAAGAATGGCCAGAAGAAACTCAATGTCCCGGGGGGGGAGCCGGCTCCATCATCCATGGCCCCCAACGCTGTTTCCACGACTTCGCCGCCTTCCACTTCCCCCACCAGCCGTCGCCGCCGTCGCGACCGCAAACCACCACCATCCGATGAGGAAGTGATGCAGCTTGACGATACGAAGCACAAGGTTTATATTTTCAACATGGACGACGAGCTCTCGTCTTCCGAGAGCGAGCCCGACGATGGCAAGCTTGTCTTTTTACCGGACATAGAGAAGCACTTGCGCGCCACGCGCATTCCACCATCCCTTCTGGCGAACCACGAAGGCCAGCTTGCCGGCATGCAGGTGGTTCTGTACAACGAGCCCGCCTCTCTGACTGTCCCACCCGAGCAAGACAGCGTCCGTAAGGCCATCGTCGAGTCCCGGACCCGCATGCGCGAGAGGCAGCGTCTCGAACGCGAGGGCAAGGGTTCGCCGGTGCAGATGCCACCACCGTTCGTCTCCCAGCAACCCGTAAGCACATTCATTTCCGGTTCCCAGCAGCCGGTCAGCGCAGTCGCACCAAATCCTCCAACCCCGAGTGAGACCTCAGCCTCAGTAGACTACAACCCCGACGCCATGGACCTTGACTAGGACGGTTAGAAACAAGGCAAGTGATTTATTAATTTTGTTTGTTCATGACGATACTCACGCTTGCCACGAATGTAAACGAGCTGTTCCAACGTGCCCACGGCGATTGACGAACCGGGGTCAGCGAGGCGTTTCAAAGGTATCATTTCAAATCGTATTGGCAGGAATATTCCTATGTTGTACAATATACAGTCGTTAAGTTCAAGGTATCCAGTCCTTGGTGCACGAGGCGTCTAGCCTCGATGATCGTGAGGCCTTGCGGCCTTTGTATGGTGAACGTCCTTCCCCTCCTCCTCCTCTTTCCAAGTCCCCATCTTAATCTGTTTCGTAAATGTGATGTCTTCTGTCCATCTCGTCTTGAGTCGTGTCTTGCAACCGGCAGTGAGCTGTTAACACATGCCATATTAAAACCCGCTTGAAAATACTAACGCAGTAATAAGGTCTGCGCACCACCACTCTCGCACATGTCCCACTTCACTGCGCCCTGTACGGGTAAGCCTGCCCCGTGTGATTCGCAGCAACGGCGGCCGGCGGCGGCGGGGGGCCCGCTGGCGGCGTGACGCCGTACTCCTGGGAAGGGTCGACCTTTGAGCCGCCCTCGGGCGGCGCATACATGGGCGGCCTCGCGGAGTTGGGGTCGTAGGTCGGCGGCGGCATCCCCTGCATGCCATAGTAGCCGCCTCCCGGGGCTTGCGGGTGGGCGTTGTGGTACTCCGGGCGGTAGGTGTTGTAGGTGGCGGTGGGCCATGCGTAGCGGCTGTCTACGCGGGCGAGCTGGGCGCGGTTGAAGAGCCAGCGGTGGTACCCGAGGGGGAGGAGGCCCTTCTTCAGGCGGCTCTTACCGTGGGCGTAGCCGACGATGAGGAAGATGGCAAAGAGCGTCGTGAAACCGAGGAAGACGGACCACTTGACGATGACGCCAGTCTGTCGGGGTCTGTCAGCATCCGGAGCATTTCAATCAAGGGGGAGGAGAACCGCGAGATGACGCGACTTACCCTGCTGTACCACCAGGGGATTGCCCGTCCATTCTGTATGACCCAGCCGGGCGGAAGCTCGTTGGGGTTAACCACGTCCTGTCGAGCGATCAAGTAGGCGTCCATGGTGATGTTTTCTCGCCCTCTCGTTTCCCCCTTTGTGTCCGGTCCAGTCCCTTTCCCTGCAGTTCCCACGCCGAAGTCCAAAGATGGGTTTCTCTTTTGTATCGTCAATGTCCAAGTAGTTCCGTCGGGTGTAAAGGGCTGCAGATCAACTACGCCAACCAAACTAGAATAAGCAGAACAGCTTAACTACCGACAAGCAAGGGTAGCTGCGTTGTCGTGGAAAGTGAAATGAAATAAAACAGGAATGTATGAATACTGGTTTTGCCAAGACTTCGCAATGCAGCGGGTGGATGCTTTATTTGAACTCACTCCAAACAAGATAACAAGGGCTGAAAAGAAGAACCAGTGAGGTAGGTTGGAGGCCTGACGGTCACCTAGTGCCCACATATCTGTGCCTCTCTCCCTTCTACCTATCTGCTCGGACATGGGGTGCCGGCATCGTTAACTCTGTTCGACCCGGGCGACGCACAGGGGGAGACTGGGGAGGGGCTAGTTTGAGAGGTCGGCATGCAGAGGCAGCGGACTCCTCATTGGCCCTGACAAGCTGAAAGGGTCCATTAAGAGGTGGCCAAGGAGTGTGGCTACGGCGGTTCGTGTACAATCCTGCGGCAGCGCTGAAGCATCAGAGTCGTTTCATCCACCTCGGATCCCGAATGACGAAAAGGCTCAAAGAACCATCCCGGAGAGCACACGCGCGCATCACAGTAAGATACAACGCACACACACACACACACACACACACACAAAGCAAACATTGCCAGTGCTCCGTGAGTTGTGGACACTGGAGGCCTGAGAGGCCGTGCCGCAACTATCGCCAGAAAAGTACGCTAAGAAGTAAAAGAAACAACCTGTCCTGCCCTGTCTGTTTGGGCAGCCATAACCCTTCCCGGCGCGCTTTGAAGCAAATCAAGTGAGGCTTCTTCACCTATCGCATGTGTCAGTCGATAGATGATGTTCCCCAAATTGATCCCAACCAGCTTGTGCCAAAACGCCTTCAGCGACCAAATCGTCAACCTTTCGTGCTCGGGCCATGGCATTGGGGAGGAGGGGGGGACCGTGGACGACAATCTTGAAGGAAACTTCCTGGGATTTCTATCCTGCTTCTCCACATCACCACTGTAGGTAATTCCTTTTATCTCACTGTCTCTTGCCTTCCCCCTCTGCCCCTACCTCGCTCCCAGCTCCCCAACATACGCAGATATATCGCTAGTGCCAGGGGACATATGGGCAGTGCAAGAGACCATTCTTGCATCTTCCTTGGCCAACGACAATGAAACCGGATGAGTCGGCCAACATCGGCCACACTTCAATGATGACTGGTGCGAGTTCAATGGGACTAGCACGAGGGCAGCGTCCGTCCATAATCGACAATACCACGGTACCGCGTACATAGGTGCCCGGGCCGGCGGGCCACGACCTCATAGTTAAGCAACATTGACGCGCACAGCAAGGCTTAGTGAGGGACAAGCGTGGAGACGAGGCTTGAGTTTGTGAAAAGGGTATTAATTTGTTGATGACATCTGGGTCAGGTAGGCCCTTGTTTGTCGTCAACTCCTCTCTGTACCGCACACGCTCATCCCCCCCCCCCCCCCCCCCCCCTTTGCGCCTCTTACACGTCCACCTACCACCTATCTTCTTTCAACCACATCGAGCAGTTGTTAGACAAATAAGCCTGTCGAAGAGAAGAGCAAAATTTGAGTTTCAGCGTTTCTCTGTTGCAAGCGTAGGGCTGGCTTCCGTCTGTCATATGCGCAAGCCTTGGCTATGGGTATAATGTTTGAGCAGCTCGGCCCCCTTGGGCCCGAGGCCCCGACAATCGCCCAAATATGATGGAGGCCCGCCAGATAGAGAGAGGGAATATGAATGAGACGCGGGTGCTGATCATTTGGTACTTCGTCCTCCCAACCTCGGGTGATCTGCGGTGGGCGTCCGAGCAGACCAAGCGGAAACTGGAGCCGTTCAGACTGAGGGAAGTGGTGTGTTTTTGCAAACACGCCGTGCACTTGGGTATGGTTATTGTACGCGCATACCAACAGGAACAAGGGCCAGTGAGCGTCCCCGTGGCAGTCGTTCGCCACCTACCCGTCCCTCCACCCGGTATCATCGTCCAAAAACCCAATAATGTCAAAGTTAATACCCATACTTCTCAGCATCGTGCCCATGGTAAATTCCTGCTGGTTGTTAGTGACCTGGCCCCCTAGTCCTGGGCTTGTAGTTACTCACCTCCTCTCCGTCTTCGCACACCTTGCGACCATCTCCGTCTTCTATATGCCCAGGCGATAACTCCTCGCCATTCCCCTCCCTCAATCTCTCCGCAAACCTGGCCTCGTCTTCCCTCTGAGCCCTCCTCCAAGCCCTCAGCCCGCCCATTCCCTCAACCCTCCCTCGGGACGCTTCAAACACCTCCTCTGCGGCCATCCGGCTCGCCGCCCTCCACTTCCCGATCAACTCAACAAGCTCCTCGTCCGTCTCGCCCTCGCCTCCGCCGCGGATCCGCCTAGCCTGCCGGAGAATCTCCTCCCTGCCCTCAGCCTCCCTTGTAGTCTTGCTGCCAGGCGCCGAATCACCGGCTTTCGTGACCGAATTGGCGGTCCAGTGAAGACTTGATCTCGATATTGATGGAGAGGCTTCTGGGTGTAGCTGCGGCCTTGGTGTGCTGAACGGCCGGCGCGTAGGCGTGGCAGCCTGCCTCGCCGGCGTCGTCACCTGGGTCCCTGCCCCCCGCTGCCTCACGGTGGCCGCAGTGGGCGTGGTGTCGCGACTACCCGGGCCTGCACCCGAATCCGGGTCCGCATGGGTAGCTTCCCCTGGCTTTAGCTGCGGAGGTGACGCTGTAGGATTCTCGGCAGCGGCAGATCCCGCAATTTTCCCCTCGCGGCCCCGCACCATGGGCGACTTGAAGGGTTTGCGGAGCGTCTCGTTGGCGGTGTCGACTCGTCTTCGCTTTGCAGCTGGCGTGAGCATTGTGTGCATGTGTGCTGCACCGCCTGAGAAGCTCCTCCTTTTCAAGCAAGGAAACGGGCGTCTACCGTACTTTCTTTGATATTGCGGAGTAATCAGGTAGTAAAAGAACGTATTGCCCGATGTGGGTTGTGGAAGGTGTTGGTGTTGGTGGAGGGTTTCCGATCGGTCATAGATGGCGCAACAACTAACAATACCGAGGAAGCACACCACTTTCTGGATCATCAACCCTCAACATCCAACGCCTTCCACAACCCAGAGCATAGCCAGAGGAATTGAAGCCTAAAATGTGAATTTCACTGTGCGTATATTTGCGGGCCGCGCCGCGCCGCAGGACAGTGTTAAACTCACTGTTGTCAATATCTTGGCTCGGCTGCAAATGATATCTCACGGTATGAACAGACACGTGAAGGTGGGGAGATCAACAAGTTATTCGTACGTACTATCCAGCAACTGCCCAAGTATATTACAGGATCGAAGCAAAAAAGAAAAGAAAAAAAAAACACCCCCATCGGGTCATCCACCTCTAGCTACAGCCCAGTTTTCCATGCTTCCCATCATCTCACATGTCCGTAGCTGCATCACCAACCCGAAGCCTTTACCATGTCAAAGAGCGGGCCTCCGTCAAATTTCAAGTGTAAAAAAAAACAAATCCAAAAGAAGCAAAAAGATATCAAGCAGTAACTGTTCATGACCCGTCTTGCGCCTGTCGATGCAGCGTAATCCTCCGCCGACACAGAGATATAGAAGAGAATGTGAACTTAATATCCTACGTGACGCTAATGCCGTGAAGTGAATAGGAAACAGGTATCATAGAACCAAATGCACTCCATAAGTGGTCCGAAAGAGGCCAGCATGCAGATAGAATGGTACAGACAGAACGGCGGAAATGAAGAATAAAAGTGGTTTCAAGAGTCGACCCGAACCCTCTTGGGCTCGTTTCCAACCTCGTGCCCCTCGTGTGGTCCATTCGCGCTGATCTCGGGACTCTTACGTTTCGTGCTCAAGGTGTTGTCGTCTCTCAGGAAACTGGGGCCTGAGCCGACAACGGGAGTTGCAAAGTTTAATGGACTGGGCAGCGTGTTGCTGTCATTACCACCGCGCGAGTACCACTCCGGGTAAAAGCTGCTGGGGCTGGGCAGAAACTCATTATTCAAGAATCGGGATGGGAGGGCGGACACTGGAGTGTCGATGTTCATATTGTTATTTTGCTGCGGGGGTGGACGAGCAAACGGGTTTGGCGGGCCGGTGGCGCCAGCCGACAGCAGTGTCTGGGCCGACGGGGACGGCGGCGGTAAGACCATGCCTGAAGACTGAGAGTCGGATGCATGGCGTCGAGTCGTCTGGGATGTGGCATCAGTTGAGTTGCGAGGAGAGTTTGACTCGGCAGTGGCACTACCGCCATCCGACGGTTCGTCAGGGATCTCCACCCTCAAACGCGGGCGCGCACTACCCCCAAGCTTCATGCTATTGGTGCGAGATGGCGGGGTAAATGTGGTCTCTGGAATGGACGACACGGAGATGTTGCGAGTTTTGTTCAGAGATTGAGTGCTGGCCCGTGGAGGCAGGGGCGGGGACGTCGTAGAACCGTTGGTCCGGGACACCGCGCCAACATCGACGGACGGGGACCGATTGCCCTCAACCTTGATGTTGGTCTGGTCAGGGAATGGAGGGCGATTGGGCTCAGTCTTGATACTGTTTTGTTCGGAGGCGAAGGAGGCCAGATGCTGTGATAGGATAGAGCGGTTCTCGTCGATGGGCGTAAAAATGCTGTGTTGTTTACGCTGCGGTAGCTTTTTGATCGCGCTGTCCGTGTTAAGGAGTGGCGGTTGAGGCCTATCTTGCTGCTCCGATCGCGGTTCCATTGGCGCTGGCATCGCTGACTCCCGGGGCAGCGGCGGCGTTGCCTGAGGCTGCTGCTGCTGCTGCTGAGAGTGAGAAGGCTGCTGCTGTTGCTGCTGTTGAGGCGACTGTTGCCGAGGTTCAAGCTGCTGAGGTTGTGGTTGCGGGGGAGACATCTGAGGTGGCTGCGGTGGTATCTGCTGAGAGGGAGGCTGTGGCGGAGACGGCGAGATGCGAGAAACTTGAGGCCCAGGCCCTTGCTGGCCCTGCGGTTGCGGAAAATTGGGCGGCATGGAGCGGCGCTGGTCTTCCATGTACTGTTGCATATGCGGAGGATGATGGTTGGACGAGTACGAGGGGTATTGAGGGCCATGTTGCTGGGGAAGTCCGTGAGGCATGTTTGGCGGCATATTGGGCTGATTCTGAGGGTTGTAGATGGCCGGGTTTGGCATGTAGGCGAAACCGTTGACAGGAGGCTGTTGTGGTCCAGGAGGGCCGACGGGCTGAGGACCCATATTCGGGCCCATACGGCGAATGTCTTGTCCAGAACCAGGACGCGATCCCATGTTAGGCTGCGGCGTATGGCCGCGTTGCACGGGATGGCCAGGGTGCTGCGGGAAAGGCATGCCGTTGGGAATCGGGGGGGACGCTGACGGTGTATGGTGCCGCATGTGAGGGAAAGGAGCCTGTCCTTGGAACTGGGGAGGAATCATTTGGACATCCTGCGGCGGCGTGCCTTCGGGGTCCTCGTCCTCGTCCTCGTCGTTACCGCCGTTGAAATCCGAGGGGCCCTTGTGCTCATTGGGGCCGCCGTGCTGCGCGAAAGTCAGCACTCCGCGTTCGCGAGTTGCGATAGGGAAGGGGACTTACGTATGTGTATCTGGTGATCATCTCCCGCATGTCTGTGGAAGAGTACTCGTACAGTTTCTTGTTGCTGCCGAAGATGAAGACGGCAACGTCCACGGAGCAAAGCACGGAAAGCTCGTGCGCCTTCTTGAACAGACCACCCTTTCTCTTCAAAAAGGTTCTAGACGCGACACGACAAATCAGCGAAAGGCCACAGAGGGGGCGAGTATCATCGAGGAAGAACTTACACAGAGCGGTTCCTGTCATCCTTGATGGCTTTAATCTCAATCTTTCTGCGTCCCATCTTGACCGAGAAGCTCTAGCGAGCTGTCAAGTTATATGTGCGAGGCGACGACAAGGCGCGATGGTATCAGCCGAGGGAGATGTCGAAGCAAGCGACTTGGATGCCGATTGGCGACGGCGCGACGGCGGCGGCGGCGAGGTCTCAGCCGTTGCAGTTGAGGAAGGGCTCGACTCAACTGGTAGGGTCTGAGGAGCGGGGAGACTTGTCGAAGCTCGGGAACGGAGCTGAATGTCTTGTCGGAGCAAGCTTGGCTGATCAAGGGAGCGAGTGGAAAAAAAAAAAAAAAGTCGGACGGGACGGGCTGATCGCTTTTATCTAAATTGCCTGGCTCGTGGGCTATCGTTGCGAACTGATGATCCGTCAGTCAAACTGGACATGGGCAAGGTAGCGCATCCCGGGATCAACAGTATTTGAAGCGGGTGGGAGAAAAGGTTGTCGGAGCAGGGGAGAGCGCGGACTGGAGAGGACGTATCGAGAACATACATTGATCCCATTACAAGTGCAGATGCGACAGGTTCTGGGATGGACAAGCGTTGTGAGGTGCAGGTTGATGGGGCTGAATCTGGCGTAGATGATTCTAATAATAGACGCGATCGTGTTCACGTTGCTGGGTGCGGGAAGACAGGACAGTGAAGGAGGGAAGGGGGGAATAATAATGACGGGAGCGAGTGGGTGGTAGAGGGGAGCAGCAGTTTACACTTGGGTAGGTAGGGTGCAGCGGTGCGGGTGCTACGGGTGGTGCAGAACAGTACCCTAGGTAGGTGTTGGTACGTCGATCGGTACATGCAGGTGGTGCCAGGTCGCGAAGCAGGACAAGGCAAGCAACGAGAGAGCGAGGGTGGAGTGAGGGGAGTGTGTAGCCAGAAATCGTCCAGTGAGGATGCGGGAACAGAAAGTCGGGAGTAGCGCAGAAGGAGAGGGTAAAAAAAAAAAAAGTGACAGGGGTAGGGGTGTTGAGCGACCCACTGGGGGGGGAGAAGGGACGAGACGAGACGTGACTAGGTAGGTAGGTAGGTAGGTGGGTGGACGGGTGGATGGATGATTGTGAAGGAGCAGAAAGGTGCCCAGGGGGAGGGGCCGAGGGGTGATGTATTACTCTCCAATTACCCTGTTGCGTCTACTATGTAGAAGCGAGTGGCAGAAGCAGAAGCAGAAGAAGCAGGCCTGCCATGTTGTTTTTGGTTAGACATGGCTGATGCGTCGAGATAGACAGTTAGCTGGTCCTGCCCTCACCTCCTTTGCGCCGTACCACCTCACCTTTTTTCTCACCATCACCGACAAGGCAAGGCCGTGAATGCTTTTGGTGCGTGCGTTTATATGACGGGGGATCCTGGTGGCCGTTGCGGACGTTCGTGAAACGGCAGCCTGAAGAGGCAGGGAATGAGGAATAGAGGTGAGACCGACTCTAGGCACTGTGATGATACCGTCAGATATGCCTACAGCGCACCGTGCTTTTTTGCAATCTTCATCACGGTACTCCGCACCGCCTCAACCCCCTTGTACTAGGACAGCCCGAGTAAGGTACCGGCAGCCATTGCGACTTTCCTGCCGCTAGCGAGACACCGCAGAGAAGATACATGTGGCAGGTGTCGTCGAGACATCTGACGTTTAGCCGGTGTGAGGTGCGTGCGGGCCACCACCCCGACTGCAGTACCCTCTCCTCAACACTGACGCTGCGTTGCGGGTACCGCGAGAGCGCCAATCTTCGGACCTGGAGAACCACCACCAGCCTTAGCACCAACGCAGCCACCACTACAACCACAACTACACGTCCAGATCCAGGTCCAGGTCTAGGTCCCAGGTCCCAGATCAAACAAAAGCCAGAAGAAGCATTGAGCATTGGCATCCCGCAAGGCTCGACCCGGACGTTCCACTGACGCCGGAACTCTGAACCGGACTGCTCCCCCCTGGATCTTGCCAAATCCTCCTTGAGCATCGTCAAAACCATCATCATGATCACTCATCCGCCGGCATCATCCACCCATCCCAAATCCCAAACCCCTCATCCTCCCGATGACCTAACGGCTTACTCTGTGCACCCAGCCAGAGGAAGCATGATCCCGTGATGCCAAGGGGAAAAAGAAGGCGAGGCTGTCACCCAAGCAAGCAAGCAAGCAAACAACGTGCCCGGGCCGCATGTTGAGCCTCCGTCTCCACCATGACCATGCCGCCGCCGCCGCCGCCACCACCGGTGCCGGTGCAGCAACGCAGGAACGGACTCTTGCATCCGGATTCAGGCACAATGGGGCCACGAGCACACGCGAGAGGGAGAGCACAGGCCGCCTTATCAAGGACGGGAACCAATCTGCCATTCATTCAAAATTGTACAAAACAGACTCGGCACTCTCAGTACCCCTTTTCAGGTCAGACGAATGGGTTCAAGGGCGGCCTTGGCGTCGACGGGCCCCTATGTTGCCGTTTTGTTGTTGATCTCTTGCCCCTTTTTTCCCTCTCTTTTTCTTGATCTCGTTCTCTCTCCCTCGCTCTCAACCCTCCCCCCCCCCCCCATGATAAGAAGGGGGTTGAGAGTGAGCTTAGACTCCCTCAAGCACAATACTACAACGTGAAAGAAGCACAGGAAGAGGTGCGAGCTATAACTGAAATGTTGCTAGGGAGGATCCGACCAAGGAAATAATACACTGGGTGACTTATCTGAGGCCTCGCCGCCGAGAGAAGAGAGGGGACTAAGTGAGCGATAGTTTTTTCTCTCGTTTCTTCATGTGATACGATGAATCTATTTTCTCTTTATTTATACGTGTGAGTATCAGCGAGAGGGGGGAAGTAGAGTGAGATATTGGAGTCAGAAATATAATGGCAACAGCACAGAATAGAAAGATAGTTAAAAATATATCACATGCGATCGCCGTAGACTACCAGGGTCACGGATTAGACCAACTGGCATACTGTACAAAGGGAGTTACCTAGTAGGATATAAGGCTAGATTCACTGTCGACCAGACAGCGCATAAGCGATCACCGAAGCGTACGTAAC